CATCGAATGGAGCATTTTCATGTATAATTTGTTGATTGAAGTGATATATTTGATAGACTTGGTCTGACTTGTCTTTCCTNTCAGTCAACTTTGGAAAATCAACATTTACATTCCCATGGTACCATTTCTAATTCTTATGATATGAAATTGAATTCTACATCATTATATATCATCTACATCATGATGGTAAAGTTTCAATAGGTGGTCCTTTTTCAAGATTTCCTCCTTTTCATACAAGTTGACCATGTGTGATTGAGGGAAGAAATCTGTAAATATGAAAGTCAAAATAAATTTGATATTCGATGTTTAATCATCAAATGGAACATTTTCATATTAGGATTCAATATGTTTTGATGAGAAACTCAAAAGTTATTGTTGACCTCTTTTACCTCACATCTTCCCTTTTCACTTGATACTTTTATATCTACAGACATGAACCTTTGAAATTTCATATGAAAGTGATTATGAATGTTGTTAATGATGATATTGACTATATAATCTCATTAAACGATTTTGAAATTATCATTCTTCCTATAGTTTCATTTATGAAATTTTAATCTGACATTATTAACAAATTTAATATTTTATAAATTGAAAAACTAAATATACCACGTTGTTCTACTCATAATTTCCAATCGAATGATATAAAATTTAATGATATTTGAATAAGTTTATAATTTTGGGCTAGGGTTTGAACGTTGGGTTTAGAAGAATTCTATTTTTAGTTTGGGTTTGGGTTTGGGTTTGGGTTTGGGTTTGGGTTTGGGTTTGGGTTTGGGTTTGGGTTTGGGTTTGGGTTTGGGTTTGGGTTTGGGTTTGGGTTTGGGTTTGGGTTTGGGTTTGGGTTTGGGTTTGGGTTTGGGTTTGGGTTTGGGTTTGGGTTTGGGTTTGGGTTTGGGTTTGGGTTTGGGTTTGGGTTTGGGTTTGGGTTTGGGTTTGGGTTTGGGTTTGGGTTTGGGTTTGGGTTGGGTTTGGGTTTGGGTTTGGGTTTGGGTTTGGGTTTGGGTTTGGGTTTGGGTTTGGGTTTGGGTTTGGGTTTGGGTTTGGGTTTGGGTTTGGGTTTGGGTTTGGGTTTGGGTTTGGGTTTGGGTTTGGGCTTGGGTTTGGGTTTGGGTTTGGGTTTGGGTTTGGCTTTGGGTTTGGGTTTGGGTTAGGG